TACTCTGCATTATGATGATCAATAGTAACGTTTCATTCCTAACAGCTATCATCTATCGGGCATAATATAAAGCCAGTATAACAACCCTTTTAGATCCCCCCCTTACCGGCACAGTAACATCTTCACATACCCTCTTCCCCCCTTCCTTGCTATCATGCAACGACCAACGTGTAAAGGGCTTCGGGTGAGATCACCTGCGGATGCTCATATTATCTTCCATGCCGTCTCTCTTGGGCTACTTCCCATCGTGACTCGGCGATTGGATGCTGAAGAACGCCGTGCGATTACAACGGGCTGCGTCTTCGTGTGGGAGGAGCGAGGACCAAATACAGAGGCTACTGGTGTAAGTCTTGTCCACAGCATTTTTGAACCCTCACTCACATGGCCATTCAGTTGGGGATAGAACGATGGACTGACTCAATTCGATGGGGACCAAGCCGCGTGAGAGACGTATGGCTTATCTAGTTCTCCATCCCACGACATGACGTCCTCACATTCTGTATACTATTCAGGAGTTCCTATTTTATCACGAAAAGCAGCAAGCGGAAGTAGAAATGGGGTCTGATTCGGACGCCGCGTACGTCGATACTTCTTTCTTCTTCAAAGATCCTTGAAATTCTATCGTCCAAACAATCTAACAAGGGGTGTCCCCTCGTGTTCAGGTCCCTCTCGCGCCCCGATTCTAGTCGCAGCTTCTACAAGGAGAAGCTCATTAAGCAAACCTATTCAGTATTTGCAGATACCCCGAAAGGCCGACGAAAATGGCACCTCAGTACGTCTTGAACTCATGGTGGCCATGTGGTCTTCTGACACTTTCCTTCATTAGTCGCTTATTTCACCCATGGGACTCTGCCGAGCTTGCGCACCATCCACGACATTCCCGAGCTTGCGTCGTTGCATGTCCCGTTCGGAAAATATATGAGTGCTCGATCGAAGCCCCGGCCTCCTCGTGATGCCCAGGTGTTTGATCGATGTCTATTGTCGGAAGGTCCTGATGGTGCCATGTACCCCCAAACACGATACAGTCCCTATCCTACGAATCGTTCGACGTTTCTCAGGTACCACCAAACCGCATTGTCACACTCCCCGCCCGGCATTACCAAGCCCTCATCTAAATCTGAAGCCGGTTGCAGAAACCGACGATCTCGCGCGAGTTCCGGTTCTTGTTCACCTACTGAATGGGAGGGTTTAGTCCCTCTTTCATATCTACAGAACATTCCACCGATACGTCGCCACCCCCTAGATGAGAAGGCGCTGATGTCGTTCACTCTGACATTCAGGTGATCCATACTCTCCCCTCTGTCTCTGGCATGATTTCTCCTTGGGTCTTCTGTTGCTGTCGTCCTGCTTTGATTGTTACCTGTCGCTCCATTGTTGTACAAAATGCCCACTCATAGCATCCCTCATTGAATAACAACCCTTTAGCCTCTGATTTTTAGCGCTTTCGTTATGCTTCCCCAAGGGAAAGTGTTCGATCTGGTTCCGCCACCCTAAATTATTGACTTAAGGGAGCTGCCTCTGTAAAATAACATGGGGCACATCCACCTCAGTCGCCAAACGGGTGGTTCATCGGGAGCGCACCATCGCCGCCGTACTACTACAGAAATACCTTGTCCATTGAAATGGAATCACCTGTCTTCGGCTGAAGTACTGTACTGGTCCACGCAGCATGTGAACGGCACAATTACAGTTATGCTGTTAGCCAGCTCACGCAAATTGGGGTTATAGGCATACCCCCCAACCTTAAGTCTAATTTACCGTCTCTTCGGTGGCATAGGTTTCCGCTTGATGTGCGCAGCGTGAGCCAAAAGATTGGCAACTCCCACATTTCGTGGAGTTGTCTCCTCTCAATGTAAAGGATAATCTTGATGGGAAACATACCGTAAGGAGCGGTTGTGTACTTCGGCTCTCCAAGGGCTGTCGAAGTGCATTGGGATAATGTATGGACATGCTAAAAGGCACCCCACATCGTGGCACGTCTGCTCGCCACGCGTGATGGACCGACCACTTGAATTCTGTCATTCATGGTCGTCTGACAGGATTTAGACTGGGGTCTCATCGACTACATTCCTTCACGTTCTATGGCGTTCAGTCACTGGACCTGTTGCATCCTGAAGCAGGAAGCAAGTCAAGTCGTCGATCAAATTCTGAAGGCAAGAACCTTGTACTCGAAACACATGTAAATAAATAAGGATATTTGCCTCCGCCGCTTTATCACAAGGTCTCCAGAACTCCATTCATTTTCTCGCTGCCATCTCATCATTTCAAGGTGATGTGGCTGTTTGCGCTGTGACATTGATTGAGATTTGATAGGTGTCGTATTGTTCTCTAAACGGTTTTGGGGCTGTCATGAACAATCAAAATTACTATAAATGGTATGTCATTCCGGTTAAACAAAGATTTGAATCGCGGCCACAAATCGCGACCAGGAATATGACTGATATTATTTCAATTCCCAGCGATATACTTCGAAGGATCTTTCTAAGGTAATACAGCTAGTCCCTACTAGTGCGATCTCAAGTGCGATCCATCGTCAGAGCTGCCCACCAAAACTGACAGTACTTGCCGTCGACCGCTTAGTAAACTTCCAGATGGAATTTTCTCACCTTAGTTCCGCCGGAGGGGTCCAGCTAATCCCAAAGAACTCGGCTGAGCCCTGGCGCTGGAAAGTGGGGTGGAATGGTATCGCTCAGCTGAAGGGGGCTGTTTTGGGTGGACCAACAGTTGAGGAATGGAGGTATCATCCTGCTATTTTCACCAAATTGTGTCGCTCATGCGGTTACTTAGAGTCTGAGGCCGATCATACATATTGATTTTGAGTTGTAAAGTGATTAGAGTTCCTAGTCACACACAATCTAGATGTCAGGATATCAGGTTTGTGGCGCCAAGTTTCTGGGTCAGAACCGTCATTGGGCATTAGCTGCAGGCGGAAATGAACGTTTCAAAACAGAAACAGCCTGATTAATTTATCACTTGAACCCTTCTTCCTGGAATTGCATGCGGTCCCTGGCTCCCTGGTCCAACCCATCTCTTTTATAAACCCATTGCCGTTGGACCTTTAACCGTCCCTCTCTTAACCCTCCACCGCCGCCGCTCCCCTCACTCTACACTATGCAGCACATGCAGCGTCCGACCTGCACCAACGTGCGCATTCGATCCACTCAAGATGCCCACCAGATTTTCTACGCTGTCCAGCTGGGCCTATTGCAAATGGTGACGAGGCGATTAGATGCGGACGAGCGTCTCGCATTGCGCTCCGGGTGCATCTACGCATGGGAGGAACGGGGGCCCCACACAGAGATAACAGGCCTGGGCATTGAGAGATTCACGGAGGGCCGACGTTGGAGTCCGTCACGGGTCCGAGACGTAAGTCATGATCATCATATCTGCTGCGTCGAGATAAACGTGTTGTGCAGGAATTTTTATTCTACTATGAAAAGTACACCCCGTCAACGGACGGTAATCAACGAAGGTGCGTTGCGGTCGTGTGCTCATGACCATCACCTCACCTCACCGCAGTTCCGACAGTAAACCGCCTCCGCGGGATTGGGACCCTCTGGTCAAGCAGACCTATTCGGTCTATGTGGATACAAACAAAGGTCGTAGAAAGTGGCATCTGAGTACGTTCACATTACGTCCCCCTTCCATCGTTCGATTCTCACTCTATCAAATTATCTAGCGGCGTATTTTACCCAAGCTACCGTAGACCAGCTAGGAACCGTAGACGATATCGATGGCGTCGGCAATCTCGAGGTACCAGACGGCTTGTTCAAGAGTACACGAGTCAGCAAGAACAGGAAGGGCGAAGAGTCCGGTCGTCCTGGCGAATCGTCGAGTGGGGGACCATCTAACGCTCCCTCCCGCACGTACTCTGCCTTCCCAACTCCATATTCCAATCACTTGAGCCAGCCAGGCACGCCGTCCGGCTCTCAATCTCTCCACATGTACCAACCATACCCAAACACCAACTACACGCCAGGCTATCACTCCCCCGTATATTCCCCTACCGCGGCACACAAAACAACGTTGCCTCCCATCAGTAGGCAATACACATCTCCCGACCCTCCCCCACGACTTTCTCCCGCTGCCGGACCTCAATACGGTGAATACGGCCAGCCTCCCGCCTTGTCGGAGCGAAGCTGGTCGTCTACGAGCTCTACGCATCGCAACTCGGATGCGTACTACTCTGATGACCCCAATTCCCCAGCAGGATCATATCGCTCGCTCGCCCCACCTCATTCCCACACATCCCAGCCTCCGTCCCAGCCACCAAGTGTGTATTCGGCAGACTCACCTCGAACACCAGTGGATCATCAGTCTCTACCTCCATGGCCGGTGGCACTGGGAACGGAGATTAACCGATCTGATGTTCGCGCTCCATATTCTTCACGGCATTACGTTACGGAGAGGCCGTACACATATGTCCCTCCCACCGCTGTGGAACCTTCCATTCCCCGTACTCATTCCCCTCACGATCACCGCCCGGCTTCGATGAGCTCAGCCTTCGCGACACATGCAGTGCCACCCATTGTCGTCCCAGAGGCTGCATACGACCCTCCATCACCAACCAGCTCGATGGAGTCCGACGAGAGGCGCGGAAGCGTCGGCCCCAGCCGCCGTGTCGATCTTGCCCCTCTCCATGCACTTCAGCGCAGTCATCCGTACCGCCGAGACCCGGTTGATGACCGCGCCCTGCGGCGCCTTGGCCCTCGATCCTCTTGAATGTACAAAATCACCCCCCTTCCCCCGCCGAAAAATGACAACGAACTTGAACTTTCCAAGCCAAATGTTTGTCGAGTATACGCCACCTCTATTAACAATGAAGTGTGCTAGTAGATCATATGTATTATCCTCGCATCAACATCCTTTCGTAGCTATGTATTCCACGGACAAAATAGCTTTCTTGTGTTTTGGAGTCGGACCAATGTTGTAGGCTACAATGTAAATTCATCTGAATCATCTACCGTACAAGGGATTCCGATCTTGATAAGGTGTATAGCGGTTCGATGGCGTAGTTGGTTATCGCATCTGTCTAACATCTGTTCACAGAAGGTCCTCAGTTCGAACCTGGGTCGAATCAATTTTTGCTCCTTTCGTAGATTTGTTCCCAACAATTTACCGTATTCTTCAAAAGTTACTTGAAAGCCTTTCACAAAAAGCCCATTTATCGTAACCGGCGGCCAGCGTGTAACGTAATTTTGAATCCCGCGGCACCGTTACTAATTCTCATTGTCTATTGTACATGAGAATACGAGATATGCTCGTAAGTGTCCAAAGTTAGCTATCTAGATGACTGTGTGGGAGGATTCCAAGAATATTGTCGTGTACGTTTACGCCTGCGATCATTTTCCATGTCCCATGAGAGTTTTGGCTTGAGCCGTTCTGGGAAATAAGGTGGAGCCGCATGCTAACATGCTAATCGACACCTAGGATCAATGCATACTTAACCCCATCTATGATGGACAGCGAACTAATGATTCTGGGGTGATGACAGAGTGGAGTAATGACCGCAGCGCGAAGGGTTTGCTGACGTCGGCGAAGATCTAGGCAGGTTTGGCTGGGTCAGTACGAGGGGAAAGGCAGGAGAAAGGGGGTAGTTCTATTCGCTGTTGGCATCTGCGAAAGGGCTGACACAGTCGGGGAAAGCGAAACGGCGATGTGCTGTGTTGTGGGACACATCACCCCGAATACTTACAGTCTGAGGCTTGAATAGGCTCGAATATCATACTTCGCGGGTGCTTCAGGGAAAGATGGCTCAGCGATTCTCATGGTTTACAGGGTTTACCCACATAATAATGTTGAACGCCGTGGCCCAAAGAACATCGATAGAATCTGGGGCGGAGGCAGTAGGATCAGTCGTGATGGCCAAAATGTAAATAGTTAAGAGGTCCATCGGAATTTGTCGGTCACTATAGAAGCCGCACGATTCGTGAATGTATGGGCGATTTGGGGCACTCTATCCATGTTGGGACAAGTCGACGACAGAAAAAGACCGACCTCAGGAGCGAGGGCCAGGCGTGGATAGAGTTGTACGTAGAAACGGAAGACCGACCACCCACAGGACATGTGTTTGTCAGGAAGTCTTACGGTGGAGAATCAGATCTCTGCCGCGCGGCGGGCGGGGACTGGGGTCGAGACCTCGGATGGAGATGCTCGGGAAGAAGCAGCCAGTGACCGAGCAAGTAATTGGCTACGAAGGCTTTGACCCCGTTCCCTGCGGTGTATCGTTGGTCCAGGAGGTCCCGCAGGGGACCTATGGCCGGAATCAATATCGGAGAAACGTTTGATACGGTCCCGCAGGCTGCTTATTCAACCCATTGTGTAGGAATTCTGCCGTCCACGTCCTTCCACGAAGAACTCTGCCGACCAGGCGCCGAAAGTGGATGGGAGCATTGTAAAAGTGAAGCAAGTCCACGGCGTTCATATGTCCAAGTAAGTCCAATAATTCACGACGAAAAATAGAAGCAGAATCGTCCTTCTCTCTTCCCGTTTTCTGGTTCGTGGTGAGAAGAATGTCGATGAATACAATTGGCCACATGGTCGCATTTGGAGACTTGAGCTACTGTCCAAGGAAGCGAATTCAGTCGCGAGACAATGGATGCTTTCTCGAGCAAAGAAGCCCTAGAATCACACGTCGTACTGCATGCGTGCGTGGCGCTTTCTGAAGGAAAAGATAGCAATCGAAGTTACTGAGACAACGATAAACGGACGATAAAAACTGGAGAACACTTATCAAATGAGAAAATGTGCTGTGCACGCATCCAGTGGTGGTTCATCGATATCAATGAGCCCTCAGCAATCGGTATGGTATGACCGTAGTCGCGTCGCGAGTAACTTGTGACAGTGCATTGCGCGTTACGCGTGATCCATGGGCGCTAACAGCCATCGTTGAGGAATCCCTTCAAGTTCAACAAACCCTCCCTCGAAACAACGAAATAGGCTTGTCGGTCCGTAGAAGTCGACATTCTAACGGAAGGAACACTCGCTGCTCGCAGTTTCCTTCGCCGACGCGTCCGGGTGAACTTCTTTACTGATTCTCGGTCGAAATAATTCGGGAGATTCACCTCAGCTTCAAACTTCAAGGCTTCAAGGTGCGAACGTTTAGATGGACCATCTTGAATTCTGGAGATCTTAAGTGCGGTAGCATTTACGGAACCCCCCCTGGTGGATGTATCACAGCGCAGGAACTCTTGTCTGATTACACTTAATGTCAAAACTCTCGAGCAGCCTCGGATTCGTGGTCTCAGCTATCTCGGCATGCAAATTTCTGGCGTACTTGACGGGTATCTCTGATGTCCTGATACACGACCAGCAATTATCTTCACCGTTGACATCCTACTTTCGCCGTGCGCTAATTCCACTTTGGCCGCCTTGGACATGCACTCACTCGCGAATTCACCGTTAGTTCAGGAAGGAGTTCATCTTTTCCAAAGGGGGATTGATCCATACGACGGGGGATCGTTTCACCATGTGCGTTCTACGGCTTTTCTTCGAAGTTGGTGGCTAAACTCTGGGTTAGTCACCACTATTGCTCGCGCTGTTTGATACGGTGATTCCAACGTCGCGGCTAGCGACGTACGCTCTTTGGTGTATATGTGATGCACGTGCTGCCCTGGCACTGGTGAGCATATGGCGCTCGCGACAGCGAGTCTCACAAAGTTCGAGAGATACCCTGATCGCTTCCATGTAGGTGAATTCCGCCGCCCGGTTCACACGTTGACATTAACAGGATGCAATCAGCTATCTATTGAATCCCTACCTATTATTGCCGTCTCTCGCATTGTCGACGTCAACCATTGACAACGCCCTCACCCTACTCTCCCTGAGCTACGCCTGCCAAGGTGCGAACACATAGATCATACCCAACTAGTCACTGAAAATGTAACACGTAGGTAATGGGCCCGCGTCGCTTTTCTTGTTGGCGCAACTGGTCCACATGTCCCCGTCCTCGATCCTGATTCTCGCACCAATAATACTTCTGCTCCTCAGCGACCCCCTCTCACATCTAGCCTCCCCCAAGCCATTCCCAACACAGCTAAAGCGCGCAATCCCCCTCTTGTCTACATTCATAATATACATGGGTATCTTGACAGTAGCGTCTAGCATTGCTGCCGGTAATTTGCTGTGGATTAGCCGGTCTTGGGGGTCAAAGTGGGTTACGATCCACCTGCGTAATTATTGTCTAACTTTGGGCATGTCCAGTTTGATGCTCCCCGACTTGACACCTAATCCAGGGATGTGGTGGTACTTCTTCACGGAGATGTTTGATCATTTCCGGCCCTTTTTCCTTATGGTGTTCTCTGTCAGTGTCCTTTGTCCTTTGTCTGGACAGCTGTTGAGCGCTTCCAATAGGTCCATCTACTGATCTACATCGCTCCAATCTGTATCAAATTCCAGTATGTCGTGCCTGCCAATTGTCGCATTCGCTACTCATCCATTTCTAGGTATGACCCTCTTTATGCAGGCTTCCTCCTTCTGGGTGTGTTAGGCACTTTCAAGGCCTATCCGACTCTAGCAGACCCAGGCCTGTTCCTTAGCATGATAGCCTTGTTCCCAGAAGTATACCCATGTCAGTTCCGTTCCTCATTCTTGATGTGTTCTGGCTCATATTCGGTTTCAGACTTCCGCCACCCTATTGTCACGGCGCTGCTTCACATCCACTCCGCATTGCTCCTCCCCCTCTTCAACCGCCTTTGGCTAACCCAAGGAACGGGCAATGCAAATTTCTTCTATGCCTCAACTTTGGTTTTCGCTTGCTCGAACGGGGCGGCCCTGATCGACTGTATATGGGCCGGATTGAGGATAGCGGTCGGAGAGGCCAAGGAAGGGGACCATGTGGTACAAGAGTAGTGTATTATGTGTCTTTTGTATACCGATGCATTATATACATACCGCTTTCCTGCAAGTACATACCGGAGGTGTGGACATTTAGGCAATTTAGGAAATGCGTGTGATCTATGTAATCTGATCCGCTACCCACTGATTTGCCCGTTGTGGCGCCTCTGGCCAACTCGCCGCTTGTCCTGAAGGTACCACACCATGAGCACTTACCTCTACGAACTACCGACGACAGGGGCTATCTCCTTTGCTGATTTCTGTAGCGACCAAAGCAATAACAAATCATATGTCTCGTTCATCTCCGAATCGACCCAAGTCCGCGCCAACTTGCGTGCCGCGCTCAAGGAAAGCAAGCGCACCGATGATAATGAGAAGGACTACCTCCGTGTCGTCAAGGTCAGTCAATTACGACCGTTGTTCCCAAAGTCACCCATCCCTAACCGCCCCAACCGCTCCGAATAGGTTTTGGATGAGTATCTTCCGTTGCTTCGCGGGATAATGGCCAGCGTTGCTCATGACGAAATTGGGCTCAAGTCTGAACCTGGTAGGCCAACCGCTACCCTACAGGGTTATTCTGTATATTCAATACTCATCGTTCCCCCATGTGGCCAAGTGTTTAGCTGGCGCGCAACATTATCGGCGAGCCTGTTCCATGCGTCATCGAGGCACTCACTACCTTCCCTACATGCCGAATACGCTTACGTTCTCCTCACATACGCTTTTGCGTTGTCGAACCTCGCTCGATCGTCGGTGAAGGCTCTGGGGACATACGAGCACGACCGCGCTATCTCCGACTCTGAACGACGGGCGAAAGACGAGAAGCTGAATTTCGCGGTGAACCTCCTGCTGAAGGCCAGCGGTATATTCCAGTATGTAAGTGAGACAGCGCTGCTTGAGTGGGACAACAGCCGAGATGGGGGAACCGCTGGGTTGAATAAACCACCCGACTTGAGCAGAGAGGTTAACAGTGCCTTAGCCAAGTTCGTCTTCCCTCATTCTAGACCATATTCTTAATCTTGCTAAGTACTCAATTGAAAGAATGTCCCTCGCAGATGCGCAGTCGCTAGCCATCCGTAAACTTCTCTCCAAATCTGCCTATGACAGTAATATCGCACCCGGTCCTCCGTTGCCGGAATCACACCCTTCGCCCGTCCTGTTAGCTAAAATCCACCTTGAGTGCGCTTCCCTGTATTCGTCTGCGCTATCACTCGCGAAAACATCGGCACCTTCTAAAGGTAAAGA